CAATTAAGCATGTAGAAGGGTTTACAACACTACTCAATACATATCATTCGCTATTAAGAGTTTACTACAAATAGCATAAACCATAACCTACCTCCACCGAAGAATTCGTGATCAAGAATCTACTTTCCCAAAGCTGCGTTCTTCCTCTCTCTCAATTGATCGTTTCTCCCTCTCTCTCTATTCTTTTATTTTTTTCTTATTCAAACCCTCATTCTTTTACCCTAATTACCATATAATTAAGTATAAAAGATGATAAAATACCCCACTACTTGATTCAATGTTCTCTCTTTTAACCCCTAAGTAATTAAATTATTAACATTTAACCACCAACTTTATAATTATAAGCAGAAATAGTCCAAAACGCCCCTTAAAATATTTAACAGAAATCCGACTCAGTCAGGGTCACGTAGCCTGTGACGGGCCATCGTGCCTGCGACGGTCCGTCCTACTAAGTCGTCACAGAGTTCAGAGACTCACTTTTTACTTAAGACCCTGTGACGGTCCGTCGTGCCTATGATGGTCCGTCCTGCCATTTCGTCGCGAAGTTCAAAGAGCCGATCTCAGTAACCAAATTTCAAAATTCTAAGTGTTTTTGAACGAGACACCCTTGACGGTCCGTCGTGGGATCCGTCGACTCAGACAGTTATTACCAGAAATACTCTACTGCTCAAAACGACTAAACATGTTGTTACAATATTAACTTGTTTTGTTAACAAGTAGTACAAGAAAATTCATGTCTAGCATGGTGGTTTATCACCTCATTCACTCTAAAGAATGGATCTTTATTTTAACCATTTATCAAATGCTCTCATTATTCATGAATGGAACACAATCATCTAAGTAGATCAAATTTTGATAATTTAGTACCTTATTACATATTCATGTGCATCATTTAATCAATTGTCTTCTTTTAGACATTTATGCACTGCTACATTCTCTTTGGAGAATGGTTCTGCTTCAACGAGATGTATTTCATGACTAATTTTATCAAAAACTCATTATTTCCCTTAGTCATCATTATATCATCAATATGGTGCATTGAAACTCAAACCCAACGTTTATGCCATAAATCAATGAGGGACTTGAATCCAACATCTTTCATCACAAAGCATCAAGACTTCTAATATCTTACCCTCTGGGTGTGATTGGACGTAAATCCATCGTCTTATTCTTTTTGTGTGATATAACTTAAATCATTGTCTTACCCACAATGAGACTCAACCTCAAGCCTTCAAAATAATTTAATTTTATCACTTTTGATGATCATTAATATGATCGTACATTATAATTACACACAGAATTGAGATTATTGATTTCTTATAATCAACATTAGTAGTTAATAAATATAGCTTAATATATCACATACCTCATATAAAGGTTGAAAACATATCTTTCACTAAATTGTGCTTATTTAATTATTAAAATAAATTAAAAAAATTCTTTTTCGAGTCGATTAAAATTAAACGTATAGAAAGTCGACAAGTCTCTTTAAATACTTACTTTAGATGGTACCTCCAGATTTGTTACATAAATAATTATAACATAAAGATAAATCATACCTTGAAGATATAAGAACCTTATTGCATAACTTATGCAAGATCTCTTTTGCACTTTTTCCGTCGTCTTTATCTTTCTTTAAAAATAGAATAATCGTGCTGATAACGTGTTATGAAATTATATAAATTTAGAAGAAAAAGAAAGTAGGGAGAAGAGAAAAGACTTCTTATTTCTCTTGAAGTATATTCAGGATTCATAGATCTTCCTCAAATCTTCTTTACAATGAAGGAAAACCCTTTATTTATAGGAAAAACCTTACTTGGTCCCCAATTAGGATTCCTAACCATATCCTTCAAGGACTCCAATAATTAGACATTCACTATAATACAAATTATTTATAACATAATATATATTTTCAAAGTCTTTATTAGATTATTATTAAATACGACAACAAATTCGATGAAAACCTCACAAAGTAAGAGATAAGTTATTGTAATAACATTACAAATTATTTTTGTATTATTAAATTGGAATTTATATTTTTTTAAATACGTCTTCCTTCGAGGAAGGTAGAAAACTATTTTTTTTTTACTTTAACGATCTATTTGAAAAGTCACCTGCTAATTAGAATTAGTGTAATTATTAGTAGTAATTACTATTCTAGTAATTACACAATCTAGTAATTACACTGTGATTGTCACAGAGTAGTTACACTGTAATTACATATATCGTGTTTGAATGTCACAATGTAATTACACATATTGTGTTTGGATGCTTAATTATAACCATCAAATTATATTAAATTTTAAAGAGAAATATTGTTTTTTGAAAATATATTACTTAATAATCATATGTTCTTGATTAATATTATGACAAAATTATTGATTTATATTTTTTTTCAAATTAATATATTTCAATTGAACTGATCATAAAAACTAAAAGTATGAAGTTTCTACGAACATCGTGAAATGCATGTCTGATAAAAAGATTAATATATACATAATATGTCATAAATTATTAAATATTCGATAAAAAGATAATCTATCAAGTCTAATTTAAAAAAATGACTTGCAATGTGAATTTAATATTACTAAAACAAATGAAACTAAAAATATAACATAAGTTATAAATTTAAAACAACAAATTTAACATAATACTCTTATAACAAATTTCAACATATACATAAATATGATTTATTTTTATTTTTTATGCTAATGAAAAAATAAACACCGCACAAAATAAGATAATATGTAAAAATTACATAGAATCACGTAGAGTAAGATTGAGAACGAGAAAAAAGTGAAATATAATAATATAAAAATAAAAAAACTTCTAGAAATTTTTAGAATAATAAAATAAAAATAAAACTTAAAATAAAAGAAGTAAAGAAAAAATAAAAACAAAAAAAATAAAATAAAAAAAAATCAAAAAATAATCAACAAGTAATTACACCACGTAAATTATCTGTCTATGAATTAGATAGTATAGTTGCCCCTATAAATTGCATTAATTATTTATTAACTAAGTATTTACTTTGTTCAACCAAATAAAATAGACAGTGTAATTATACTAATTATCCTAAATCTAATTAGCATCCAAACTGACCCTTAAAAGAATAGAAAAAAAGAAGTAGGAATTACAATTTTGAGAGAATATCTTTATGATGGCCTCCTTTTTACTTACTTGTCCTTATTTGCTCATAGATTGTTCCCTTTATATTTATTTTAATAAACAAAATAGTATATTTTTACTTTTAAAAATAATTTAATAAATATTCTATGCTATTTTAAAATAACATAATTTATAGCCATTTGAATATATGTGTATTACTATCTCCATATTAACTATATAGTATTGTGTAAAAGTGATAAGACAAGATATATTATAGTTGAAGATTATCCACGATATAGTTTTACATAGCAAGGTGTGAAATATATTAATTATGATAAAAAATTAATATATAGTGTAGTGTTGTCTTACTTAGAATGATTGATGTTTGTCGTTATATTTAGCTTGTATTATTGTAGTTCTTGTTATTTTATATTATTCATAATTGTTTTCAATAATCTATTATAGTATATTGTTTATTGTGTTTTGATTATTGCACTATTTTGTTGTTGTTGATGCTTTTTTTTCTTTATTTATAAAATTGTTGTATTTAAGCCAATAATCTTTTAGAAACAATCTATTTACCTCTATAAGATAATGGTATGATTTGAGAATATTTTATCATTCTAGACCTAATTTATATTGTTTTAACATCTTATTTTAACAAAAACTTAAATTTTTATTTTTTCAAAATTTAATTAATATTCATCTTATAAATTTAAACAGAAGAATAAAAATATTGAGGGCAAAAAATGGCAAGGGGGTGGGGGGTTTGTGTAATGATTGTAGTGGGAGGTGGGGAGTGAGAATGGGACCCATTGAGGGGGCAACCTTTTGTGGTGTGTGTTATTAGTAAGGAGAACTCTCACTTTCATGACTCATTCCACTCTTGTCTGTCCAATTTAATTTTTTGTAGTTTTCTCTTTTCCTTTTTCATCACAATCTTCAAGCATATTTACAAAAAATTATGACATCTCAAATTATTTTATAAATAAATTTTTAAAAAGCTTTTTTTAATATATATTCAAGGAAAATATTCCTGCTGTCCTCCATTAAATTATTCTTGTGAAAAGTTAAAATGACATTTCTTCCCTTTTGTATATAAAAAAGAGTATTATTATTATTTTTGGAAATTAATTAAAGATTTGTTGAACCTAAATGAGATGAAAAGATTATATTCTTAACTAAATGAAAAAGGCTTGAACTCAAAAAAGAAAAAAAGAAAGATTATTTATTTATTTATTTATGATGTAATAAAAATAATTTTATATTAGCATTTATTAAACAATCATAAAATATTGAGTTGAACTCATAAGTGCGATCTCAAAAGGTATATAAATTTTTTAATTTCTTATGGAACTAGAGAAATTATTTTCGAAGCACCATTCAACTTGAATTAAATAAGCCAAAATTATTATAAAACAAATTAAAACAAAAACAAAAACAACAATAAAATTAGTCAATAATTGAAATAATATAATCAATAAATGAAAACAATCAAACGCAAATCACTAGAAAAATAAAGTTAATATTATGTGAAACACCACCAAGCTAAAATCGATCGGGAAACAAGACAAACGTACACTCCATAACCTATCATTCAATTCTTTAATTATAATTCACGATCTTTACATCTTCTTATCTAATGTCATATATATCCGTAAACCAATGTTACTACAATAACCTAATATCCAATCCTTTTATCATAATTCACGATCTTTATAGCCTCCTATCTAATATCATGTATATATAAGAAAACCAATTTTATTTATATATACCACTAAACCAATGTTATTTTTTATAATTGTATTATAAATTGATTCCATATGTTTTATCTTATTCTGTGGGGTATTATTATAAAAGTTAGTAAGATTCTATGAAGTAAAAAATATAAAATAAAATAAAGTAAATATAAAATAAAGAAAATAAAAACTAGCAGGAGAAAAATTGATAAAAAGGCAAAATACTGGTAACCATCCAAGAACAAGAAGGGGCAAAGGGTTTTCTCACTTTCTCTCCCACTAATTATTATCAGGTTTTCCTCTCTTTTCTTTAATTGTTTTCTCCGTTATTTGCATACCCATTTTCCCTTTTGCCTTTTTTTTCTGTCTACCAATTGCTTTTTTCTGGGTAATTTGCTGTTTTTATTTCTATTTTTCTTTAAGAAATCTGTATATTAAATTGAAATGTTCTTAAAGAAATGATTTTTTTGGTTGATTTTTGCTTTTTTCTTGAGACCCTTTTTGTAGCTGATGAGAATCTGTTGTTTTTGTAGGTTTGAAGGTGGATTTGGTGTTTGTTGGATATTGATTGTTCATGGTAAAGGGGTTTTTAGGGTCACAGATGTTGAGGATGATGAGCTGATAAAGTTAGGATTCTAGACGTTTGGGTATAATTAATTTGCTGTTATATGTTGATTCTTGTGCTGTTGTTGAAATGGATGTAAAGGTGTCTTTTTTGGGTTTGATGGAGTTGGATCTTTCATTGGTTTAATTTTTGGGAGGAGAATCAAATTTGGGTATTGTTTGAAATCTGCTAAAGGGAGAGACTTTGCTTAAATTTTGTGATTTTGAGTGGATTGTTTAGCTTATGGGTGTTGCTTGAAAGAATTGATTGTTCAGTTGTTTGCCGGTTTTGGGTTTTGGATTGATTGGTCAAAATGGAAGAAGATGGAATGGCTTTTGTTGCAGGAAGTGAAAACTTGGAAAGTGGGATCAAAATTAATGCAGAAGAGTCTCAGTGTTTCGAGATGGAGGTGGAATCTTGTGAGACTGGAACACTTGGTGTAAGCAATGAAAGTGTAGTTTTTCCATCAGAGAATGGTGAAGGAAGTAATGGTAACGTGGTTTTTTCCAGAGAATCTCCGCTTGTACGTAAGGATTTTAGATCATCTGCTGTAGTAGGAGGGTGTAATTGTGGAGTAAATAAACTTAAAGCGAGATTGTCTAGTTCAGATGGTGAGAATGGGAAAAATGAGATATCTGGTGCTGAGAAGAAGCTTAATAGACAAGAGAGGATCGAATTAGGGCGATTGTTTCAGGGTGCCGTGAGTTGCCATGATTGGGAGCTTGCCGAGAGTTTGATTCTACTGGCAGATCCCCAAACTTTAAATGATGCATTGTGCATTGCTTTAGATTCGGTATGGTTTTTAAGTACACAACAGGAGTTATATGGGATAACAGGGTTGATTAAGAAGATAATTTCTAATGGTGCTTTTGATTTCACTCGGGCTGCTCTAAGGACTTCGTTTCTTGCCTCTTGTGTTTCTGCTTGCCAAAGTCGAACCATGAGCCTCACAGATACTGTGACTGTAATGGCACGAAGGTCAGAGATTTTGCATGTTCCCTCTATACATCATTTATGTGATTAAACTAGGATTTTTCTCACAACTTGAATTTAGTCTTTGATGGTAGAAAAAGTACAAAGAATAGTTAGTTTGTTGTTTCATGTTTCCACATCTCTTCTTGTTTTGTTGATTAAGTAAATCAACTTCATTAAATGTGGGCATAGCCTGGTCACAAGAGATATACTAAGAAAGTAGAAAACCTACAAAAAGAGATGGTTTTCTAAAAAGCTACACCAATCATCTATACGACGAGGAACCTCATGGCTGCACCAAAAAAAAGATATAAGAGACTGCTCCTTAACATTAGAAAAGCCATCTCCACACCCTCAAAAGCTCTCCTGTTTCGTTCTCTTCAAATGCTCAAATCAGTGCTTGTGGAGCAACGCTCCGAAATCTGTTTCCTGGACTTCTTCTTTACATTACCTGGTATCACCCAATAAATCCCAAACCATGTCGGAAGACTTGGAACATCCCACCATAACTTCGAAGCAACCATGTTGATGTTTCGACATCTCTCGGAAATGCATTTGTGTTGTACAAATATTGCACATTGTGGCATGCTTGTTTGTAATTTTAAGTCTCCCAAAGCCATGAGTTTTGGATTTCCCGATATATTTTACTGGATTTCTTCCTTGGCATAGGTCTAGAAAGCTTTTCTCAAAATCTTATCTCTGGCTGGCATGTTTTACTTGACTTTAAGAGTCATATTCCTTCATTTGAAGGATCATCTTACTAGCTTCTCAGCCTCGAACAATCTCTAAATTTCATAGTTTACCAAATTCTTCATGCTGAAATTTCTACTTTCAGTCGTCTCCAGACACTGTTTGCTTTAAGAACATGCATTTGCTTATTGGTAAGGTAAATAATAGAACGTTGATATAGTTTGTTTCTCTGTTGTTATAATTTCCTTGATGAGGTAATTGTTGAGGTTGTTATGATCTTCATGTTTAGGATTAAAAGAGTTGCAATTTTAACTTTTTATATTGTTTTTTTTTCCTTCCTTCCCTTTCTCACTTTATGTCAATTTGTATACCTTATGCTGGGTGCTTGTGTCACTTAATGTTGGATTTTTTGCAACTACTATTAGCAGGTTGCATGAACGACTTCAAGAGTGCAATGGGGATGAAATTTTGAAGGCAGAAGCTGGTGCTAAGGTCCAGAAGTTTACTGAATGGGCTCTAAAATGTATTGGTTTCCATTCCCGCTGCCAAGGGAACAGGGATAGGGTTCGGCACAATCCTGCTGTTGAAATACAACTACAGTTGTCGGCTTTCAAGACCTTCCTCGATCTAGCTGGGAACCACCTTTCAGGAAAGGACTTCACAGAAGCATTTGACGCAGCTTGCTTCCCACTTACACTCTTCTCTAGTTCATTTGATCCTGGCTGGGCATCAGGTATTTCAGCAACTGCAATCCAAGGATTGCTTGGCATGTTGGTGGAGGGAGGTGCAGACAATGTTAATCAATGCTTTCTTGAAGCCTCTCGTTTTGGGAGCACTGAGCTTGTCCGCATTCTCTTGCAGGTATACCAGTGTTTACTGTTTTAATTTTAACTTGTGTCTTTAGAATGATGTATAGTCAGCTTTGAGCCTTTGACTTCCTTCTATTCTCCAAGGTTACTGTGTTTCTATGGTTCTTATTATATTATGTTTTTCTCTTGTAATGCTTCTTTTGTTCCGACATTTTTTCTTTTCACCCTTAACTTCCAGTCAGGCTTAGAAAATACTGTTGGTATTTCTGTCCACTCCAGTTTCACTTAGACAAAAAGCAACATAAATGTAAAGAAGTAAAGAAAAATACATATACACCACAAAACTGACACTTGCATCCAGTTTTCCTTCTCCTAGTGAAAGGGCAGTAAGTTAAAACATCCATATATAGTGCTGCATGCTGGAGTGATTTGTTGGATGGAAAGCCGATTAAAACTACATAGATTGGTATCTTCTGCCCTTTATGATATTGCCCTTTCCAACAAATCAGTCGTTGAGAAGATTCATTATAGTTCTACTATTTTTGTGCTAGTTGTCAACCTATCACGCTAATATACTACAATATTCACTAGACATTGTGTTGGATATGACAAGCTTAAGAACAGAAGTTTGAAATGAGGACATGGTTTGAGTAGGACAAAATTGAAGTTTTTATATTTAACTTGCTGCATATGGTGCAAATAGACATTTGGAACTATAAGCAAGAAAATATGAATGACATTTTCCATCAATTTGTTAGGTTCAGACATGATGAATTTTCGAGTTCAATTTGCATAAAACAGGTTATAGATCTTACAAAGCTATTTCTTTCCATGTGGTTTTAGATTTACCTTGTTCCCTTTGCAACACCTTCACTCACCATGGTTTATGGACCGCTGCATCTGGAGGTCAATGCAACGTAACGCAGGATGATCAAGCCATCTAAAAGAGCCTTTTCTTATCCTATCCTCAATGTATGCTACTTGCATCATCCGACAAATGCGTTTATTTTGGGCTTTGTCTTATCTTGTTCAGCTTAGCATGTGTATCTCTCTGAAATTCATCTTGTGGATTTGTTGGACTTTAAAGCCCAACATTCCGTTGCGAAATGATTTCAATGATTTAGATTTCAGGGTCAGGCACTCAGGTTCATGTTCATGGTTCACGCCAAATTCAACTGCAAGTTTGATTGGGTCCCTAAAATATGATGTCCTTATATCCTAGTTTTTAACCCTGCAACTATTGTAGTGTCTTTAAAATCCTTTTGGTGCCACCTCCTTGTACCATTGGTATCAAGTTCCCTCGCTTTTTTTATTTCAGAAGACTAAACATTTAGGGATCACATCGTCTTTCTGCTTTCTATGCTTCACATCCCACAAGGTGGTCATGTGCGTTAAGAGTGTTTAACAGAGTAGGAAAGAAAAAATGAAGAGGAAATAGCTAGGTTATTAATATATCATCGCAAACCCTTAGATATTATTTATGGAAATTGTTTCCTGTTGAAATTTTAACATTTACCTAATTTATAATTTATAAACTGGGCAGAGACATGTTTCTTTTTCCTTTCCAAAAGGGAAAATCGGAAAATGGGACTGCTTTTTGTATGCCAAAGTTTTATTTAATTTAGCAAGTGAAGTTGGTGATATTGCCAACTTCAATATTGATTCAGTTACTGTGCATTAGTAGACAACTTCTCTAGATTGGGGGCTTTGTGGTGGTCCAGTTAAGTGATTGTGATTGGCATGACAGAGATCCATGAGAGAGAGGTTTAATTCATTGAAGCTATAAATGTTTTGAGTTTTTATCTCGGGTTGTTAGTTGAGGTGTATTATATTGTTTTATTTTCTTTGGCAACCGATAAACATATGGCCTTTTATATTATCTTAGATTATTCTGTTTATTTTTTACTACTTCAGCTTACTTATGCTCCATGTTCAGATGAACCATCATATGGTGCTGGTAAACGTGTATAATCTCTGAACTGTTCTTGTTTTGTCAGTCTACTTGTATGTCATTCTGGTCAGCCTGGGTGTTACTGTTACTCATAATGCTTCTTTTCACCATTTCTTTGTATGATTGCTGGGGCTAGAATTTTGGAGCAAGTGTTCTACCTTGATATCTTGTTCTCTTGTTGATGTTTTCTTTTCTTTCGGAATATTTGGAGAATAGAGCTGTATCATGCTCATCTTTGCTTGGTTGTTTTCTCTTATAGATTGCTCAAAGGAATAGTTTGGATGTTGATGTCGACCTGGCTTTGGGATTTGCTTCTCATTATGGTAAAATTGGAACTATGGAATGTTTAGTGGAAGAAGGGAATGCAATGGCATTCTTGGGACCTTTGATGAGAGCTGCCGAAAGGGGATCCATGCAGGTAGTTGACTGGTTTGTTAAAAGGGGTTGCAGAGATATGGAACTATGTCTGGCCCTCACTGCTGCTACTTCCAGTAGTCAGGTTGAAGTTGCTCGATATCTCCTTCCTCATGTTCCTCAGCATGTTCTTGCTGCCCTAAGCATTGAGATTCTTAAGGCTGCTGGTGAAAGAAGTAGCGGGTCTCTCGATGGAGTAGCATTTCTCCTAAGTTCGGACTTCCTCGGTGATCCCATTGCCACTTATGCTGTCGCTGACAGCATTGCGAAGTCTGATGACGAGGCTGTGGCTCCTGCACTCAGGTCTTTCCTTCGAGAGCATTGGTCAGAAGCTGCTTTCTCAGACGGACTTAGGCAGGGACAAGAACACTACTGTAACCTGTTGCGTATTATGAAATGGGGGGAATCTCCCGTGTGTTTGAGGGACATCCCGGGGCCATTGAGGATAGCAATAGCATACCTGCCACTGTATAGGGAATGTGTCAAGGCAGGGGGTTGTTTGTTATCACAAAGACTTAAGGGCCAGCTTGTGGAAGCAGCAAAAAGGCTCGACGGTGTAGTGCTTGAAGAAGTAAAGCAAGGGAGAGAACTATTGGCTGTTTTGGAGCATCATCTTCCTCCATTTTTGCATAATAATGCATCCAATGCTGCTTAGTTTTTGAAAATTTTCACATATCTTGTCTCTTCAACGAAGTCTAATAACACAATGGTTGGTGCATTGAATGTGAGCAAGAAGCCCTCTTAAGGTTGGTCAGTTATCTTAATGAACCAGACCTTTGTGTTGGCTTAAGATAATTGTACCTGCAGAGAGTCTACAATTTGCATATTTCTGATGTGTATGTTGAGTAACTACATTCACAAGTCTGGGAACTCAAATGGACATGCAATATTGGCTATTTTCATGGTGCTTCTTCCAACTTGTTTTCTTATGCGACTGAACGTGTCTTTTTATCACCGATTATGAGTAATTTATACTCCTTTCGTCCCAATCTGTGTGATGTTTGATCAGGGATCGAGTTTAAGAAGATAAGGAAGATATTTGATTTTGCATTGAGTTTTAAGGAGATAAAGAAAGATGTGTGAACTTTTGATTAAAGACAAGTTATAGCCATAGTGTGGTCGTAAATCTCACATTAAGGATAAATAAAAAATTTACTAAGTTGAATTATTTTTAAATATAGAAAGTAATAAGTAAATTAGGATGGTATCACTTCAATTGATCACTTAATCATGTTAAACTATTGTGGTATGGTGTAATGTTAGGGGTTTGACAACGAATTTCATTTTTTCTTTTTTTGGTTTGTTGCTAAATTAGCACTATTTAGCTGTGAGTGGAAGATTTATCGAAAATAATCTTTATCTTATAAATGTATTAATAAAATTTGCGTATATTTTATCTATCTTTAGTTAAATCATATTGAAAATGCTATTGTAATTGTTAATAGTATTTAGCTATATACCTATCCAGGTTTTATGAAAATTAAAAATAAGAAACAAGATCCATAAGTGCTTTCTTTGAGCATGTAACTTATTTTCTTCTTCTTATTGTTTTAGTTTAATTACTTCAGTGAACCCCTTTTATTAAATAACTACTACGGCATTTAAACTTAAACTAAAGCAATACTATATATGCTATAGTTTCTTAACCAATCTTATCTCTTAACATGAATGTGCATTTATCTCAATATTTTCATTTACGCTACTTATATATTTCTTAACCAACTAGCACTACAATAACTGTACACTGAAGATAAAACATGATAGTGTTGAAATATTTAATCAGTTTAAGAAGTAGCTCCTCACTATTTTTTCAAATCATCATTATGTGCTTCCTATAAACAACAATCTATATTAGTAAGCTTCTATTAATATGACAATGTACTCTTTCTATTTAATATAAAATTATGTGCATTTTATAAAGCTAAGAGCCAAAAACCTACAAATCCAAATATCTCTGAAGGTAAGTCATTGATGTCATTAGAAAATTTAATAATCAGGTCATTAAACTATAATATACACTATAATTTATTTTTTTAAAATAATATATATCTACACACACTTGTTATTCTTGTTGGTGAGGTACTATTTATATCAAATATTACTCATTTTAAATAATTTTTTTCATTAAAAAGTAAAATTTGTTGCTTTTATCACAAGATTAATAAGAAAATCAGAAAAAAAAGAAAATCTTAGTTGAATTAACGATCAAAAAACAACGTTAACTATCCTATTTATTGAGTTTCACACTTAATTATTGAACGTGTGTTTTTCTCTTAAACTATCAACCCAAGGGTTTAGCGAAATACACCTAGCGTTTGACTCGACCAAATATTTGTTTAGAAATGGTTCTAGGTGGGTTTGTCCATAAAATCTTCGTCCACCCAACATATAAAACAACTTTTTTGCCGAGACATTAATTTCTTAAAATATATTTTTAATTAACTTTTTAAACTCCCCCTTAAAATAGATATCGAATGCCACATCAAATATGATACCACGACTAAAGGTGGAGAAAACGATGGTAGACTTAGATATCATAGTTGAAATAAATTACTTTATACGAACAATTGTAACCTTAAAATTTTTTAACTTTTAACCTAATACTTATTAGTTTATTTAGACTTGTCACAAGGAGATTATTTTTCGAGTGCCACTGTCACGATCCAAAATGATTCGTGAGTGGCACCCACACTTACCTCCTTAGGTGGGCGAACCAACACATCTAAACCCTAACATATACCAATAGTTCAACTATAAATAATATAAATAATGCGGAAACTCCAAAAGATACTAAGCAACTAATTTAAATAAGTTTCTAAAGTTTAATACTTATCATCCCAAAATCTGATAGTCATCACATCAAGGACATCTATTTCCAAATTACCATATCTAAGAGTGTCTAAGAAATCAAAATAAGCAAAAAGATGGTCCATGTCGAAATTCAAAGACATCAAGACGTGAATGAGAGAATCCAGTACGAGCTAGAATTAATAGCTCACCCTGAACTCTGATGTGCTGGAGACTGGCTAGAGCTGAGGGCGAGTCGAAGTCGATGGTACACTTGCTGCACTCCACAAAAGAACAGAGAAGAAATACAAGTAGGGGTCAGTACAAGGAACACGTACTGAGTAGGTATCATCGGCCAACTCAAAATAGAAATCAATATATATTGAATAATAATATAAAATCAACTACGATACTTAACAGGTGACAAGCAACAAATCACATGAACCACTGACAATAACACCATAACAGGTACACCATCAATCACAACATCAAGCACACCTATGAGGACTCATGCCTCCACACCATACTCATTTGAAAGATAGGTTCTTTGAGGTTAAGTATATTAAGTTACTTCAAGATTCCTTTCTTTTAATGTTATTGTGTCGGAACGTGACACTCCGATCCCATATACCGTGTCGGAACGTGACACTCCAATCCCATAATATCGTGTCGAAACGTGACACTCTGATCTAATAATAGTGTGTCGGAACGTGACACTCCGATCCAATTATCTTATTATTTTATTTCATCAAGCCTTCTTTATTCAAGGCGTCATTTTACTAGAGAGGGTTTAAAATTAGAAATTCAACAGTCTCATAATTTTAGGTCAACCACAAACTACACAATCAAGACATACAACCACACAATCAAGTACATAGGAGACTTTACAATATCACATAATACATATCAATCTCTATTGAGAGTTTATCTATCAAATAGAAATAAACTGTAACCTACCTCCACTGAAGAACTGAAGTCAAATTAGCTAATTCTCCAATACTTTTCCTTTCCTTAGTGCCTCCAAACCTTTCCAATCTATCAAGTATATATGCACAATTTGTAAGTTAACGAGTCTATAAACACTCATATTATTTTATGTCTAGTCGAGACCCAATAACCCATCTGATTCTATAATCACTTTCCTAAAAGTCAAACCTAAAGGTAAGTCTCAATTCCTCCAATTAGCTTACCTTTAACGGATAAATAATTCAATACACCTAATATTTAATTATCTATGTCAATAACAAAATATATTTTATAATGTATAACAAAATATAATAATATTTCAGAAATGAAGTCACTAGTTACGAGACTAGTGGCATCAACCATGAATCCGCTAAACAATCTTTCGTCTCAAACTTTCACTAATTAATGACGACCTTTAACAGTTCTATCGTTTTCTATTGTCAGTAACAATTTCATTATATATATAAAAAAATGTCCTGCAATTCATCACTAACATCAATAACCAATAATTTTCCCATATTGTTTAATAATTCACTAGAACAGAATAAACTAATGTAACTATAAAACAACAGTCTCCACCCACAACCAATCAGTAGCACATGATCCCTTAAATTGCAACTTTCAATCTTTTACTTCTTTTTCCGTTCTTCTAATTCAATCTTTTATTTAATTTCCTTTGCACTCAACACTAATAATAATAATTATACTAATAATAACATGAACAAGGGTTGAAATATTTGGATGAGAACTTTTATTTGAAGGATTTGCAGGCTTTCACGCAGCCGCTCTCTGTTGCATTCTTTCGTAATCTACCTCTATTTCATCATCTTTTCTTTTTTACTACGTATTTACTACCCTAATTTTATATGACTAAATATAATTAAAATGGTAAAGTGACCCTACTATTAATTTTAATATTATTTTCTCTAACCACTAACTAAATAAATTATTAAAACTACCCCACTAATTTCATAATTATAATTATGAATAGTCCAAAACACCCATTAGAATCTATCGAAAAGTATTTTCTGACATAAAAAGCTCTAGCGCTCAAAACGATCGAAAATGGTCGTTAAAGCCACATGACAAAATTTTTATACAATAGAAAAAGCGTACACACATCATTAAAAATAAGTCAAGGTGCATTTCTAACTATTGAGTGATAGTTCAAATATGAAACTTAAAAATTAAAATAATTAAAATAAATTTTTTATTACAAATTCACTTAATTGTGTGGATGTTGTTAGGGTTTTGCCCTCATTTTCTTACCTTATTTAAAGTTTATTTTTTCCTAAAAGAAAAGACAAAACAATACCATAAATGTTTAATATTCTTCCATATGTGGTTTTTTCCTTCTTTAGAGGAGAAACTTATAAATTGAAGAGCCCTTTTCTCATACCTAAAATAACAATAGAATTCACAATGTAGTCGTTTAGAGACTTTTGTTTATGGGGAGATTTATTCTCTCTACAGTTTTAATCTTTTTTTTTTCATATTAGTTTTGATATAATAGTATTTTTTATTTTTGGTATTATTTTTTGTTATCTAATTTATCAACCATATGATTTGCAAATTTGTAAGCTTCCACGTAATGTCATAATCACCCTTCATAACTCAACAAGTGATATCAGAGCACATGGTTCAATGATCCTATGACCCAACAAGTGATATCAAAGCGCACGGTTCAAAGGCTCGATGGTTCAAAGATCTAGTGCTTCAATGATGTTGAAGAAAGGCTCAAGTGGTTCAAACTAATTTCCAACAAAATTGATGATAATGAAGATTTTTATGCTACTCCCTGTGGAGAAAAATTTCAAATATGTTTTCAATAATATCCTGCTGCTCCATCCTTTAAAACAAAATAATTTTCAACAATTTCAGTCCTTACAGGATTTTAATGCTCGGGATACACTTTTACTCATGCATCTTAATTTTAATGCATGAGCTCCGCTTTTAACTCATGCATCCTACTTTTAACGCATAAACTCCACTTTCAACCATGATCCTAGTTTTTAACACAGGGCTCCAATTCTAACCCATATCAATTTTTAAATCATGGTAAGCAACATTGATATATGAAGATTGTGTGAAAAAAGAGGATCAAGATTATTATGCCAGAAAATTCAAGTCTAAAGGGAGATTTGTTAGGGTTTTGCCCTGATTTTCTTACCTTATTTGAAG